AGAGCATTTTGAAATATTGAAAAATAGTACAGACATTCTCAAGAAAAGAGGGGAATCACCCAAGTGACAAATGGTGTTTCTTTAACTGGATTTAGCCACAGATGGAACTTGGAGCCTAACCATAAGTTAGGAGTGTAGACACTTCTTTTCTTGTGGCTGCCCCCCAGCCCCCTCAAATTTACAAGTGGAATGAAACTCCCCTACTAACTTCACAACTCAAAAGCTCAAGGAAAATCTCCCCCACCTCGCTAATGCAAAGACTTTCCTGCGATTTCCAATAGCATAAATTGTTTAGCTTTTCCTTAAATTGTACATCCACAAACATGTTGCTTCCAGGTCTGGGTTTAGTCTCCTTCTGCATGTACTTAACATTTATTGTCTCAATTCATTCAAAAAGCAGTGTCTTTTATCTTGGAGCCCCTATTCATCTTAGTGTTAAGAACATTAATGTTGCAAGAGAGTTGTGGGAGTTGTTTTCAAACTCTCTGAAAGTCAATTCATAGGAGGGTGGACTTAGTTTACTAAGATCCCTATTGATGGGGTGCAAAAGGGGTGGGGAGAGGTGTCAGAAGAGTTAATGTGGGCCTAGAGACTTAATTCCCTTTGCATTTTACTGATTTTTCTCAACTCTTATGCTCAGAGAATAGATAAGAGTCATATTATAAAAATAAGTTTGCTTAATTGTTTAAACATTGCTTTTAACCTGCCACTTCCAGCTTTCTGTCGTGAGCCTGGTCAGTCTTAAACAGATATCATTTTGGACCAGAAAAAAAATGGTGCATCAACTATTATTTTTTTCAATTAAAGCATCTCTTTTGATCTTCTAAAGAATTTTCTTTCACCCATGCAATTCTTTTCAAGAAAAGAAAAAACAAAACAAGAAAGGTTCAAATTCCTTCTACCAGCAAAAACCCTCATTAAAAATGAATTTCCAACATGAGAAGTCAGAGCAAGGACAAATGTTCCACTATGGCATTACCGATAATTCTCTTGATCATAGGCCTTTCTCATACACTACTGAAGCATTCCCTTGAAGAAAAAGAAATAACAGGAAATAGCGGATTTTGCATGGAATCTATGTAAGTTTTGTACATGACATTTGTAAAACACCTTAAGAAGAATACAGAAATGCACTTGATTTCCTATCAGTGTCCTTCTTAGAGTTGTTCCTACTTATTGTGAAACTCCACATAAGTCACCAGCTTCAGTAGATGACCCCCACTCTGGGGGAGTTGCTCTATTTAGCCTCTACTAACAATAAATCGTGGAGAGGGAGCTCCTGCAGGGAGAACTAAGCATATGAAATCAAGTGAACCCTAACTGTAAGCATATTTAATCTACAGTTGTTAAAATATACATGTCATCATGCTTTCTTATATTCTTTTACTCACAAACAGAGAAAATGTTTTCCTGTATGACTCACAGGAATTTGAAGCATCTGTAACCTGGGCAGGTGCTTGCAAGAGCATATCACAGATCAGAACAGTAATTTCTCCTTTAAGTTGCAACCTCTATTGGCCACCAAATTTGTTTCATAATGCAGACAAAACTATCTAGGTAGTTGACATTTTATATCCACATATGTGCAGACACACACGAATACACTGTCATCAGTTTTATACAGCACATAAATAATTGAAAAATATACCATTTCCAATGGAGAACATTTAATGTCTGCATTATCTGACTATGACTGTATGAATCTTTATTGAAAAACAAGTGTCAATCAACCTGTTATGAAGGTAACAAAGTTGTTTCTCTAGAAAATCAAGTTCAACACGCAGAAAGCTGCCACTCTTAGGATTTATACTTAAAAGACTACATAATCCATCTCAATATAGAGCTAGGTGAAGTTAAAAACTACTGATTTATGTGACAGAAATGTATACAAAGGCAGGATCATCAAATTAAGCACCTGCTCAAATCTGACAGTAGTGGAAGTTAATCACATCTGAAAACTTGAAATTTAAGAAGAAATTAGGAACTCGGTAATAAATTGGGTTGACATAATGTAGATTGTAGGTTAGACAATAATTGAAAATACTACTTTGAGAAAGAAACAAAACAAATATTTTCCTTGAACCTTATATCCAAGTCAGTGGTTAAAGATCATGTCATACTTGTGACTTTTAAAGACTGCTAAGTGGTGCCGTCACATCAATGTTGCAGGTGGCAATGTAGCCGATACATTATATTTGGGCCTAAGGCATTAACAGAGTTGTTTTGAGGTGTGCGTCAAGACCCACAAAACTCACATGTGCAGGCAGATTCTGATAATTTCTGATTAACACGTACTATTACCCTGCTTCTATGTTGATGGAAACTGAAGGGAGTCCAGATAGCTCAGGTGTGTTCTGGGGTGTATTTTTAAAGGTGAAAACAATTTTCCTGTGTTCATTTCACACTACAAATTCCCTCAAGAACGGAATAGAAACATAGAGTGCTAACTACATTTTTAAGACTTTTTTTTCAGGCATATAACTCTTTCCTCCTCCCTTCTTTATCACAAACAATGCCTGCAATTCTAGTATTTTATACTGTTATCAGTCTCTAACAATTATATGTACCGTAAGAATGTACAATTCTCACATTTCTGGAAATAAAAATTAAAATTAATCTTCAAGAAAGGAAGCATAGAGGTAAGTCTATTGAGCTTGCAGACAGCATAAAAAATGGCAAAGGCCATGAAGTAATCAGAGGGTAAGAGAAACATTGAACATTATTCCATCGATGTTCTTTAAAGATTATGCATGTGATTGTATACATGAACGGGGTAGGGAGAGGTGCTGTGCTACCACATTCCAGGTATCAATATTAATTTAAATTATTTGTTTCACAAAATAAAAACACTGTCCTGATTGTGTGGTTCAAAATACAGACGGATGAATGTCTTCCTTCTCCCTTTAGCCAATTTTGACCCCCTTTTATTTGGATTGAACTTGCAAACTTTTCTTTGTTCCTGGAACAAATCAGAACAATTCGGGATTAGACATGGTAGAAGTGAAATTGTTAACCTGTTTAATTCTGACCAATAGAAACCTGCTCTTCTTACTCTAGGTAGCAAGAAGTAGGTTTAACGATGATTTTCCAACGGGCATATAAAACTATATATTATTAAAAACGGGGCCATGACTTAAAGTTTTTCAAATAAATTGCATGTGATATCTCAATAGGATAATTCATTAATCCAATCCTCTCAATAATGGCCAAGTGCTGTGCATTCCTCTGCAGAATGAATGTCTATGGAGAGTAATCCAGGCAAGACAGACAAGCCTCTTGTCATTTGTAGCCTTAATCCATTGCCCAGGGCATGAAAGTGCTCAGGATAACAAATGTGGGAATCACTAAAATCAACATTATTTTTGGATTTTAATGTCCTGACAATACTGACTGGCCAGTAAGCTTATGGAAACTGACAAATTCAATATGGTCAGCTTGATGAGTCAATCCAGTGAAGTGGAGGACAGAATCCCACTGCCCTGTTCTTTAATCCTCCTGCCCTCTTCCTCCACCTCCTCCACCTACACACACACACACACACACACACACACACACACACACACACGCTTCTCTATTGCCCTGTGGACAGTAGGTCATAAAGCCCTGTGGTGGCAATGCTGAAATCATTCTTGATCCGAATACTAAGCCACTTTCATTAAGTGTTTATGTTTGCAATTGAGAGACATCCTCTCCCTTCACTCCCCCAAATTCTCTATTACCAAAGAAGAACCCTCCTCAGATTTAAGGAAGTCTGTAGCGCTGGGTGCTGGTGCTGTGGGGGTGGGGATGGAAAGTGGGGGGTGGGGGTGGCGGAGTGGGCGTGTAGGAGGGTGGGGGTGGGGGGAGTAGCAGGAGCTGGGGGCTAAAGAAGGGAAAGTTGTTTCCTATCAACTTCTATAATCCTCCCCACCCCCAAATACTATCCTGGGGAAAATTGAGAGAAAAATAGGAGAAATTGGACCATCTCCCGCAGCACGCCTGTTTGGGAAAGGCTAACTCATGATGTTTGCGTGACTGCCTGTTCCTGGCATGTGTCCCGAGGAGTCAGTGACCCTTCCCCACCACTTGAAGACCGGGAGCTTGCCTCAGACGTGGGTGCTGCACACTCACTCGGCACCGACTTTTGTGGACTTTGTCGTCGCCCCCGCCTGCACTGGAAACCAAAATCAGGGAAGCGGCTTGAATTAACAAGATGAGGTGCATTGAAAATGTTCGCCAGAGCATTCCAGAAGCCGGGAACCCATCACTGTGTTCAAATTCTGACTATCCTTCTGAGAATCCCCTGTCGTAATTTATAATTCTCAGCGGACCTATATCTGTCTCGAACTGATTGTTGAAATGGGCTTTGCTCGGAATTTCTTCACGGAAAGCGACGCGGGGCGGGGGAGGGCGGGGTGGGGGTGGGGGCCAGGGGAGGGGAGGGAGGAGGGGTTTGTGGGGAGGAGGGCCGGCTCTCTGGGGCGGTGAAACCTGGGGTGGTTAAAGTTAGAGGGGTGCACAGGACAGCACACCGACAGCACGCCCAGAATGCACCCAGTCAGTAGGATTATATAATGATAAGCATGCCTTGGACATGATGTAGGTAGCAGAAGCCAGAATTCAAAAGGAAAAAAAAAATCGAAATTGCACCCCCAAATGGCTATAAAACAACGCTCGCCTCGGGCAGTAAATTTCTAGCTGCACGCCTCTCACAGGCACGCGGGCGCGCGGCGGTCCCTGCCCGCGCGGGTGACAGCAGGGCCGGCGGGGGGGCGCCCGTTGCGCGCGTCCCCGGAGTGCGGGGACCTGTCCGTGGGGTCCGCGGCCGCCCTCCTGCGTGCGTGCAGGAAAAGTCCGCGCTGCTGGCGCCTCGCTCTCTCCCTCCCTCCCTCTCTCGCTCCCTCCCTCCCTCCCTCTCCCTCTCCCTCTGTCTCTTTCTCTCCCTCTCCCTCTCTCCCCCTCTCCCTCTCTCCCCGTCTTGCTCCGTTTCCTTTTTATTCCGCTTCCCCAGCCCGATTAGAGTCCGCCACCGGCTCTCGGAGGAGCGTAGATGAAAGGAGCTGCTTCGGAAGCGCCGGCCGCAGCCCTCGTTCATTTGTCCCCGTCCCCTTTCCACACAACAGTTGTGCCTCATTATCCGGTGGCCGCTCCGGTTTTCTTTCCCCTTTTTTTTGGAGGGTTTGAAGTTTCCGGGCTTCGGTGCCGGCTGCGAGGAAGAGGTGCTGGTGTGGCCGCGAGGGCCCGATGATCCGCATTTATGAATGAAACTGACCCAGGTCACCTGTTACCTCCAGTTTGCAGATTGTGTGAACTTCTGCGGCTGCACGACACCCGAGCGAGGAGCCACCGCGCCGGCAGCATGGGCTGCTTCCCCCGGCTGGCCTGTCTCTTCTGGGGAGTGCTCCTCTCGGCGAGGGCAAACTATCCAAACGGGAGGAACAATGTGCCAAGGCTGAAATTATCCTATAAAGGTAAACCTTTGTTCTCTTTTTCGGGTATTTGGTCAGCTTTCGAGTCGGCTCCCCCACCCCACACCCCCTTTTCATTCCACGAACTCCCTCCCCAGTCCAAACTATCAGACCTTTCCTTTATTCCTGGGAGACCTTATGTGATGGAGAGTATCTTTCGGAGGTGATTTAAACACCAAACATAATAATAATAAAAGCATGCCTCGTGTTTGGTATCTGACAATTTAAATGCTGCAAACAAAGAACATTTAATTCCATTTGCAGAGAACTGCCTGCCTGGTACGTGGTGATCCTCATATGTGATTCTGTCTTAGGATCTGTTAATTGACCTGACTTGACTTACATAGGGATTTTAAAAATATGCTAATGCAAAAAAAAGGTCTTTTGTAGCTATGCCTCTCTCACCTCTAATAATGAGTATGATACATTGTTGTATCCTCTGGGTTTTAGACATTAAATGGTTAATCATCATCATGAATATTCAGTTGGTTCAAATCTGACAATCAGATGCTTAACATAAGCAGTAGATCAGGGTTTGCCAAGAGAATATAAACTGGGGAGAGCAGACTAGTTTTTCTACAGTGTGTTATGATTATACAAACGACAGTATATTTGGCTAATTGGTGTAAAGCTAAAGCTTTTGAAATAAAATGTTACTTAATTCCATATGTACTACAGTGAGAACTGAGGAGACTCTGATTGCCTAGCTGGTGGTGTGAAATTCCCCTTTGAATAGTATAAATTTAAGAAAGGAAAATAAAAGGTATATCATAGGTTTGCTAATACTTTATTTGGTTAAACTTTAAAGTGCATGCTTGTTTGTTAAGGAGTTTTCTTTTTAAAGAAAATATTTGTTTTGCAATTGTTGAAATAGGTTTTGCAGATATATATGTAAAGTAATGCTAGCATAGATTCCAAAATGACATATAAAACTTTCAATGGCAGAGAATAGTTATAAAATGCCATGTTATTAACCTGGAGTTGGAGATTAAACTGTTTTAACTCAAGTAGTTTTTACTCTCTAAGGTGTTGATTTCTTATGATTCTCAGATTTCTAGAATGGGGGAGGGGCCATGGGAAGCTTCCAATTATGCTCCCCTTTTCTAGCCTATAATGTGAAAGAAAATCACTGAGTCTTTTTGTAGGGATGTCTGTCCACTGTACATTGCCCTTCTGTAATAAAATATATTCTTTATTTTCCTATAATCGGGAACATTTTCTCTAGCCTGAATGAGGATCTCAAATAAGGAGGAGAGATGTAATTTTCACACTTTAAATTAGAAAATTAAACACCTATTCAATATGTGTTTGGACTTAGTACTTGCTAGGTAAAAATACATTGAAATGGAAAGAATTGCATTTCTTGGTATAATGTCTTCTTGAGAATTAAATTAAAAATAGATTTTCCATATCAGCAAGTAGAATGGCAATTTTACTGATTAATGTAAGATGATTACATATTCTCATATGGCACTCATTGAATATTTAATTAAATCTCCATTTACATTTCTATTTGGTAACCATTCTGAAATTATTTTCACAATATATGACAATACAGCATCTGTGTTTTCTTGAGTATTTGCTTTCTCTTTTCACTCTTGACAGGGTGCCATCAGATAATTCTTGGGCTGGTGGTTCACTTTACCCCCGTCTGTAGTCCTTATGAGTAAGCTTTTCCTGTGACTTTTCTTCTTGGAGATATGAATGGCAATATGGTTTGATTTTAGAACAAGTTTGAGATCATAAAATGTATTTGTCTAAGTGTTCAATGTAAAATAAAGTAACATTTGAGAATCATGCTTTTTTATGTTTACAAGAAAATTGTAATCTATTGTAATTGGTTACTCCCCATTATAGAGGCATTGATTCTTTGTGTGTATGAAATAGAAAGTATTACTTAAAGTAGCTCATTGTTATAGACCTATGCGTCAAATCTACCTGATGAAGCAAACTATACATAGGTGTATATATTGATGATATATGTATATAGATTTACCTTTACCTTTAGAAACCATCTCTGACTATGACATCCATTAAACTGTTTCCACTTCTGTGTAAATGAAAGTTTGCCCTGTAGCTACATAACAATTCCATGATACACCTCGAGCTTGGCAATGTGGGTAAAACCAGCTGTGAAACAAACAGCAGCATGACAAATGAAAATCATGGGTCAAGCCATTTTTCTTCTATCATTTTTTTGGCCTGTCACTACCTTTTTGTGTCTTCTATGTACACTTGTTTTGCCAAAGCAATTGCTTGGCAACTAATTGTCAATACTTTGTTTCTTAAAAAAAATAAGGGCTTTTTTTAAAAGCAAAAAAAAAAAAAAATCCAACTACTTTTATTCCCCTCTAACTAGGTGTCAAGCATGGTTAAAACACCCCCTGCCTCGCCATAAAAAAAAAAAAAAAATTCCAGCATGATTCATAAAGAGTTAAATCCCCGGCAACCCTAATTTCCCATGGTCACTTGTTTTCAAAGATCCACCATTAACTCTCTCCTTGCTCAGGTTGCCAAGTGGAAGTTTCAGGTAATCGCTGTGCTTACTGAACACTTGTCATCTTGCCTGGTAGGAAATGAAAGAGATTTGGTATGTTAGATGGGAAAGTAAAAAGAAGTAAAGACAAGAAAGCAGCCTTTGGAGTGGATATGCTTATATATCTACTAAGGTGCCTCTTCACTTTCTAGGAAAAGGGGCCTGAATAGACATTTTCAGGACCATCTGGAGAAGTGATAATATTAGAAAAGTGGGGTTTGATGGCTTTCCTTCTGCACCAGCCTGATTTAGACTCCTTGTGGGGGAAGCAATGTGAGAACTCTGCAAACCTCAGCAGTCGCACACAAGTTATCCTTAAGAAACATTCACGCAGAGATACTTTTGCTTCACACACACACACACACACACACACACACACGACATACACGACATACATGTATATATTTGAAAACACACACTGCTTTGAAAGAAGCAAAAAGAAAAATCTCTTCAAGAGAGTCAACAAGCTTAATTAGTAAACAGTTATCCATCTTAACTCTTTTAAGAGATTATAACATTGATCAAAAGGTAAAGACCCAAACTTCATACTTTTAACTAAGAAATTTTAAATAACTTATTTTTTCTATTATCAGAAGATGTGAAGAGATTGCCTGACTTAAATGATAAACTCATTATTACAACTTAATCAGCTTGATTTTTTGCAGGGGAGCTTTGTATAAAATAGGAAAGAGAAGCATTTAAAATATCTTGCTATTTACTAAGAAAGTCTTCCCTAGGAAGGTAAGGGTAAAGGCATTTATTTAACCTTTGGATCACATGGCCAGATGAAGAATTGCATGTGTCATTGATTTCGACCAAAAACTGAACCACGTAATGTCCTGGAAAAGCTCATTATGTTGAGTGATGGAGCATTTGTCATTTGTTTAAAACTCAGGACCTAATGTATTTCTTCATGATTGCCATACATTTTTCCCCCCAAAGACTTCAATATAGCATACATTCCAAGTGGAAGATGATGGTATGATTTTCTGTTATTTCATGAGTTAGTTGAAATTTGATTGCATTTTGCAGGAGAAACAAACAGTTATGCAACAGTATGAAAAAGCAGTATGCCAACCTTTAGCTGTGTGTGTATCTTTATGGTGAGTGTGCATATTTTATGATTGGGAAGTATAAACGTCCCAGAAACATGCAGGAGCTGAAGTAGTTTCAAATTTGTTAAAAATAAGTTATTTCACATTATATTCCCATTGTAGATAAAAGAAATATAGTTGGCATGATCTCTTGAGTCCTATGCAAGGTTTCCACAAATATCTCGAGTATTCACATAGTAGTATTTGGAGGATGGCATATGTATTATACTGAAGATATTCTCACATTTATACAGTCCTCACCTTTGAACACAAATGCAACATGTTTCAGAAAGGTAGGGGAGCCAAAGGATAACTAAAATGTACAGAGCAAAGAAAATAAGTTCTAAATCTCTTGGGGTAACTTCCCTCTGCCCCCCAATGAAATCACTGTATATGTGGTAGCAGATTTCTAACTTTACATAGCTTTCTTCTCAAAATCTTTTCACCTAAGATAATTAGTGCGTGTGGTTTTTTTTCTGAAATCCTAAATTCAAACACAGTGAAAAACTTTTCCTCCTCTATTCAACAAGTATGCCTGGTGAAGTATAATAAAACACTCAGTCACACATCTCTTGCTCTAACTCTGATCCCTTCCCATGAGGGCTAGTGAAAGTCACCACTTGTGGCTTCTCTGCTTTAAGCTGCCAATCAGGTTGACCTTTGAAATAATAATTTATACAGTGTAGACTTTAGCAAGTAGGAAAAAACTGAGACCACAAAGCAATTACATGCAAACTACTAGTCCAACAAATTTTGATAATGGCATTCAGTTATTACTATCTTAAACAAATATGAATAAGATAAAAATTTTCCTATTCTAACTTTATTTTTTAGGTTGGTTTTTCCCTTCCTATGAATCATTTTAAAAATTCCTGTACTGTTAGTGATTTGTAATATTTGGATATTTGAAATCCATTACCATAACAGTCTGTTCTGACCATGACGACCCGATAGGGCAGGGGAGAACATCCTCATATGATTTCCTAGGCTGTACATCTTTATGGAAGCAGACTGCCACAGCGTTCTCTCATGGGACTTCTTGGGCATTCACACAGCAAATATTGCAGTTGGCAGCCAAGTGCTTTAACCATTGAATCACCTGGGCCCCTAGATATTTACTAATTTTTCTTTCTTTCTTTTTTCCCCTTTGTATTTGTCACACATAAATCAAACAACAGAAGTAGCAAATATATTGTGGTATTTGGTCAATTATATTTAAATTTTATATTTTAATAATGAATACAATTAGAGAATATTTCCAGAATAAATTCTGTTAGAATTAATTAATATGATTGCCTATAAAACCCAAAACCAAACTCATCGCCCTCCAGTCGATTCCTACGCATATAACCTTGTAGGACAGAGTAGAATTG